TCTAATTGCCTTCTATGATGAGATAACTGGTTCTGTGGATGAAGGGAAAGCAGTGGACATGTTATTCCTCAACTTTAGCAAAGCCTTTGACATGGTCTCCCACAGTATTCTTGTCAGCAAGTTAAAGAAGTATGGGCTGGATGGATGCACTACAAGGTGGGTAGAAAGTTGGCTAGATTGTCGGGTTCAACGGGGAGTGATCAATGGCTCCATGTCTAGTTGGCAGCCGGTATCTAGCGGAGTGCCTCAAGGGTCGGTCCTGGGGCCGGTTTTGTTCAATATCTTCATAAATGATCTGGAGGATGGTGTGGATTGCACCCTCAGCAAGTTTGTGGATGACACTAAACTGGGAGGAGTGGTAGATACGCTGGAGGGTAGGGATAGGATACAGAGGGACCTAGACAAATTGGAGGATTGGGCCAAAAGAAATCTGATGAGGTTCAACAAGGACAAGTGCAGAGTCCTGCACTTAGGACGGAAGAATCCAATGCACTGCTACAGATTAGGGACCGAATGGCTCGGCAGCAGTTCTGCAGAGAAGGACCTAGGGGTGACAGTGGATGAGAAGCTGGATATGAGTCAACTGCCCTTGTTGCCAAGAAGGTCAATGGCATTTTGGGGTGTATAATTGTGGCATTGCCAGCAGATTGAGGGACGTGATCGTTCCCCTCTATTCGACATTGGTGAGGCCTCATCTGGAGTACTGTGTCCAGTTTTGGGCCCCACACCACAAGAAGGATGTGGAGAAATTGGAGAGAGTCCAGCGAAGGGCAACAAAAATGATTAGGGGTCTGGAACACATGACTTATGAGGAGAGGCTGAGGGAACTGGGATTGTTTAGTCTATGGAAGAGAAGAATGAGGGGGGATTTGATAGCTGCATTTAACTACTTGAAAGGTGGATCCAAAGAGGATGGATCTAGACTATTCTCAGTGATAGCAGATGACAGGACAAGGAGTAATGGTCTCAAGTTGCAGTGGGGGAGGTTTAGGTTGGATATTAGGAAAAACTTTTTCACTAGGAGGGTGGTGAAACACTGGAATGCGTTACCTAGAGAGGTGGTGGAATCCCCTTCCTTGGAAGTTTTTAAGGTCAGGCTTGACAAAGCCCTGGCTGGGATGATTTAGTTGGGATTGGTCCTGCTCTGGGCAGGGAGTTGGACTAGATGGCCTCCAGAGGTCCCTTCCAACTCTGTTATTCTATCATTCTATCATTCTATGACACAGCCTGAGCAGGGATCCACCCACCCAGAGCCAGGGGAAGATTCTCTCACCAGTGACAGACGCCGGCGGGAAAGTGAAGATCAGGGCTTCATTACCAGCATCGAAAAATTTCACCTGCCCCTGTTCACAGTCCAGAGAAACCCGGATCCTTCTGGCGACCTGACTCAGGGACAGGGATGTCACAGGGGCGGTGAGAGCCTGGTACTGACCCATCCACCGCTGCACAGCCCAGATCCCCCCCTCAGGGTTAAGGCTGATCCATCCCTTCCTCCTCACAGTCTCTCTGGCCACCCCCACAGCCCAGTATTTCGCATTCCCGACCTTCACCTCCCAGGAATGTCTTCCAGAGGTGAATCCCTCAGAGCCCAGGACACAGGTCTCAGTGTCAAACCTCTCCGCATTATTTGGAAGATCCTGCCATGTGCCTCCCCTTCTCACACTTTTCTGATCCTCAGACAGGATGAGTCGGGGATGAGCCGTGTGTGGATCTAGAGTCACATTCACTGGCATAAAGAGAATCAGAGCATTAGGGGCAGAGCTCAGCTCTGTGGCAGGCTGGGGCCATTTCTCACTCTCCCTGGCTGGGACAGTCCTTGATTCCAGGGAGATGCCTCTGTCCTGGGCACCTGAGACTCAGCAGAGATGTCACTGCAGTTCCTCAGTCTATTTAATTGGAGCCACTTCATTAGTTTCTTATTTGTTTGTACTCCCTGTGCTGGGGCTGCTCCATTCTCAGTGGCAGAGAGACAGCAAGGAAGGTATCAGAAGCTTTTAGTGAGGAGGGGGCATAAAAGGCCAGTAACAGCTTTAAACCCCAGAGGGAAGCTCCCTCCCCTAAATGCATCCTTCACTCCCAGTCTCCCAACGCAGGAAACAGAGAGGAAGATGCAGCCTGGGGAAAGAGCCAATACAGACCAGAGAGTAGGGGATGACAGTGGGTGGGTAGCCCAATCTCCAGCCCAGAGCGAAGGGAAGAGGGGCCAGCATCAGAGGGAGAGCATTTCCCCAGTCCCTGAAGCAGTGAGAAGCTCCAACTGGAGAGCCCAGCCCTGCCCACAGTAAAGGTAGGATGTTGGCGAAGAGTGATGGGGGGGACCCCCTCTGCCAGGATAAAGGAGAGGTATGTGTCAGCTCTCAGAGAAGAGAGAGCTCTCTGCTCATTACTCTCAATTTAATATTAAAAGACCTATGAATGGCTATGAAAACCCCAGGGTCAGAGTTAAGGATGTTTGGAAGCTGCTCAGTGAGAGTCTTTCTGTTTAACAGTATTAGGGTGACAAGGTGTCTTAATTTTATGGGTACAGTCCTGATATTCAGTTTTGTTTTTTATGGGCACCTATTACCCCCCACCTCTTGTCCCAATTTTTCACACTTGCTATCTGGTCATTCTAATCAGCATGGACATGAACTCAGCACTAAGGCTGGTGTCAGGATTATTTGTTTGACTTCAGCTTGGGATCTCCTTAGCATTTAAAAAAAAAAGCTAGATAAATTCATGGAGGATAGGCCCATCAATGGCCATTAGCCAGGTTGCACAGGGATGGTGTTCCTAGTCTCAGTTTGCCAGAAGCTGGGAATGGGCGACAGGGGATGGATCGCTTGATGATTACCTGTTCATTCCCTCTGGGGCACCTAGCATTGGAAACTGTCATAAAACAGGATACTGGGCTAGATGGACCATTGGTCTGATCCAGTATGGCCATTCTTAAGTTCTTAATGTTTTTATTTTTAAGGCTGGCTGTGTAATGGCTGGTGTTGGATTTTTAACTTTAGCTACAATTTCGTGAAGATGTTTTCATGGGAATTTTCTAATAATTTAAAGATAATCTACACCTGAAATCTCACCATGTCTGTGTGCTCCTAGGGATTCCCCTCTTTTTGTCTCCAGTTCAGATGGCAGAGTGTCTGGAGGGGAAAAGGAGAAAAAAAGATGTGATTTCCTGCTTTCATATTTATAAAGACATCCCCACTCTTAACTGACTTAACTTGGTTTGCAATTTGACAGAGAAAGACAGAGAGGGACAAGACACACTCAGGCCTTTAATATAAACATTAATTAATCTGAAACCTTCTTTTCCTCTTTCATTCAGACATCTCCCAGCAATGGAATGAACAGCCATTAGGGCTCACAACCACCTTGGAGATAGAATTTGTAAGATACATTTACTTTCCCTTCAACATCTCCTCCCACCCTCCACACCCCAGCTGGTTTGTCTCATTCACCAATCACCTATTGCATTTTTTCCAGACCCTAGACCCAGATCTTGCAAAGACTTTAGTGTGAATGTAACTTTACACATTTTCGTCCCTTTGACATTAATGTGATGTTAAGAGTTTGCAGGGTCAGGGCTCTTAAATGTGAGCTCCTTGGGTTTATTTACTCAGCATCTCTACAGAGCTCAGCACAACAGGAGACTCATCCTCCATAGACTGATATACAAATAATAATAAAATCATGTTATAGGTGTGAAAATTCGAGCTGGGAGAGGGTTGACTCAATGAGCCAGATTCCTCCTGAACTGGCATAGGGATAGAGGGGAGCAGTTTGTGACTCCCCTATTCAGGGCTGCAGAGGCCTGTGCAGACCTTGGCACAGGCTAGGGAAGTCCTGAGATCCAGCCAGACTAGCACCCCTGTTTCTCTGTTACCCCCATGTTCTTTGCAAGTTCTGTAGCTGGGAGAGAAAATCAGGGTCCCAAAATGAGGCCATTTTGCTAAATTTTGGCCTCAATGTTGTGACCTTTGGGAAGTCAAGAATTAATGTGAGACGTCCTGACACCTGGGCCCCTCTTACACCTACTCAATTTTTCTACTTTCTACCTGTCATTCAATAGATATGTCATCTAATTATTGACCAGTTGGCCATAGCCCATCCCCTTCCACAGTCTCAGAGACTCATCCCAATTTCCCTTTCTAGATTCCTTCTCAATACCTTTGAATTTCCTTAGAGCCTCCATTAGAGCAATAGTTTTCTCGGAGACATTGCCAAGTCTCTTTTCCACTTCAGGAACAATCTCCACTGGCTGCTGGAACTTCTCTTCCCTGGACAGAAATATTTTCACATTCTTATATTTCATTTAGTGACACATTATAATTTGTTGTTAATGAAAGTTGCTGCTCTAATGGGCCTGGAGTTAAAATTCCTCTGCTTCTCCCAGCCTCAGAGCAAGTGCTGCACAGGCCCTGGCTGTGAAAACTTCCTGCTGACGGTCCCATTAATATTCTTTAACTCTGGCCTGGAGAGACCAGCTCTGGAGATAAAAAGGGAATTAATTCTCCATAGCCAATTCACTCCTTGGCCTCCATGCTCTGAGGGACAGGAGGTTCCCATGTTAAGTGTTGTAGAAATCTGTCGGCTAGGAACTAGATTAATACACCTACTCTCCCTTCCCCAACTCATTCCACACAGGTCTTCAAACAGTCCTCAGGTGGGAAAGACTCTTGATCACTGCTGGCCTGGGCTGAATGGTAACCAGTGCCCCCGCAGTAAAAGGCCCATGTTCTATCTTCACAATCCTGAGGCAGCCAGTCCCCCAAAAATGTGACATGTCTATAAAAAACTTTAGGTTAATCTTTCCCACTGAATAGATCATTCCAGAGTCTTCTATAAAAAGGTGAGAACCTCCGGATTAAGTTGATCAGAGAGATTTGTATCCAAAATGTGCCCCTGCCCCACACATGTAGCTGTAGAGCCCTGGCAAGATATGTTGTTAACATAGTTTAAAAGCTCTTTCCTAGCATGTGAAGTGTGTGTGGGAGTGAGGAGGAGCCACATACCTGCACAAAGTGCATCTGATGTCCTAGAGGGGAAAAAGAGAGAAAAAAAATCTCAGTCCCACCTGACAAACACTGGGGATCCCAGGGAAAGGATTTTGCTAATTTTGGAAAAAGAAGCTCTAGCCTGGACCCAGGACCATGGATTAGCTCAGCTAATGGGGCTTTCCCATCTCTCATATATCTATATGTCTCTAATTCTTCAAAGAAAAATAGTGATGTATATTTCAGGAATGCACACACTGAGTTTCGCTGACTGCTGGACTCCAGTGCCCATGATTTGGGAGCTCCCCTGTCCCTGTGGTGGGATCTGGGGTATTTCTAACTCAGTCTCACCTGCAGGAATTCGCTTGCTGGCTTCTGATACTTCCCCTCTATCTCACTGATCAGCTCACTGAGACGGGAAATCTCCTCAGAGAGTTTAGTGACATTTTCATTCTCTATCTTCATAATCTCCTTGTCCAGCTTTTCCAGCTGGGCCATCAGGAGTCGCTCTTGTTCCTCCAGGAACTGCTGCAGTAGCTGAAATTCAGATACAATCTTCTGCCTCTCAGTCTGTATCTTATTCTGTAAAAAAAAAAAAAAAAATAGGGAAAGGGCTCGTCAGGGACATTAATGGAGCCTGGGGTCCCTTCATGGAGTGTGAACTATGGAGGAGGGAGAATTTCTTTGCACATTCCAAGACATTTAAAACTTGCCCAGGACCTGTGGTTACTAGAAAGAGGATTTTCTCACACATTCCCATTTGGCCCCTCATGGGTGACAGGTATCAAAAGCCAGGGCAAGCTAAGCCTCCCGTAATCCAGGCTGTGGCCCCACCCATGTTCCACCTCAAGGCCCCGACTCTCTCCCCATCTCCCCTGAAGCTGGCAGGAGCTCAGCTCCTACTGGCGGCCTGGATCACATGTCCGCCAGGGGGTGGGACTGCCCAGGGCAGCTCAGGCCGGCCTGGGGGTCGGGCCAATGGCTCAGGCTGATGCTCGGGGTGGCCACCAGCCCAGTGCTTGGGCTGGCCGGTGGCCCAGGGCTCTGACCAGCTGGTGCAGCTGGGGTAGGCCAGCCAGTGGCTCAGGACAGCAGGGGTGGGCAGGCCAGGACTTCTCCATCGGCATGGGGGGACTCCTCTGGCCTCCGGCGGGGGGGGGGGGCTGAAGGGGTGGGCAGGTTTGCTTCACTGGGGGGGTTCACCCACCATCCATGTGGCCCCTGTATCTCTTAAAGAGATATTCCCATATAGGACATGGTTAGGATATCGCATTACCAGTGGCAAAAGAATGCAGATCCAAAGCAGCAGGAGGCAGGACTCACTACTAGAGCTGGGTGAATTTTTTGCACTAAACATTTTTGCAGGAAAAATGCAGATTTGTCAACTCTGAAATATTTCATGAGTTTCTGTCAATTTCACCCAATGTTTTGGGCAAATAAATGAATAAAAAATCCTGGGGGGAAAAATATTGTAATTATTTTTTCAACTTGAAATTAGTTTTTGTGTGAAAAATTTCCTTTTAAATGGGCAAAATTGAAGCCAAACATTTTACCCAAGAAAAAATGACATATTTGATTTGCTGAGTTTTTAAAAAAATATTTTTGGTTTGACCCATTTTTTCCCCCCAATTTCCTGCCAATGAAAAATTCTGCTATGTGCAGAGAGCTGTGCATTGGATGCTGTAGCTCACGAAAGCTCATGCTTAAATAAATTGGTTAGTCTCTAAGGTGCCACAAGTACTCCTTTTCTTTTTGCGAATACAGACTAACACGGCTGTTACTCTAAAAGTTGGACATTAATTCATTACCAGAAATGAAAGCTTTGACTCTGAAGATGGAGAATAAGAGGATTTTTCAGGCCATCTGTATGGAGGTGAGCGCACATGTACACACAGACACACAAAGCATCCATGATCATGGAGTAACAGATAAAAGCCAACATTCCCCAAGGCCATAAAGGAATCTGCCTACAAATAGACCTCGCACCCCATGTCAATGCAGGTTAATAACAATGGGAACCTACCACATACTCATGGCTTCTCTTCTCTCTACTCAATTTAAATCCCAGGAGCGTCTCTCTCTCTTCCCTCAGAATCTTCAAATGGATCTGGATTTTTTCCTGAATCAACAGAAATGATTTCGGTGGTTTGATTGTTATTTTTAGGGGTGAGGGTGGGGGATCTTTTTCAAGCAAAAAAAAAAAAATGCAAAAAAACCCCCAAAACATGACTATACTGATGACTGGGAAACCTAGTGGGTTTATGATATCAGAGATAATAAGGAAGTGGAGTCATAATAATGGAGACTGAGTGTTTTATAGACAGACTGTGTAATTACTTGACCTTGTTTCTCCACTGATTTACACCAACATGAAACTGGGGTCACACCCTTGGCTTTTACTTTCACTGTGTGAAATAACCTGTTTTTGAAAAGGTTTAACTAACAAAGTGATTCAAATCCCAGCAGCCCCCAGGGTCAGAAATCTGGGCTGGGATTCTCAAAGGAGACCAACATGCATTGAATTTCAGCCCTGAACCCGTTAGGATGGGCCTGGCTGGACAGAACTGGTCTTAGCACTTGGACAAACCCCATTAAACATGCTGATTTTTGTAAAGAACAGTTGGGGTTTGCCCTAGTGCTGTCCTGAACCCTTCAAGTGGCAATGCCACCTCGGCAGCTATTCCACAGCTCCCAGCAAAGCTCCCAGCAGCAGCGGGTTCTGGGGATTTCAAAATGCCGCACTGTGGGAGAGCAGCATAAGGGCTAATGGAACCACTTTGCCTGTCCTTCACACTGGCGCAGGGCAGCACCACACAGGAGTTAGCTTTGCTGCAATCAAGTTCAATTCAAATGTACCTGACATGGAGCTGCGCTGCCTGGAGTGCAGTGAGCTCCTCTAGCACAGACCAGCATCTCAGTTTAACCCCTCATGGAGCAACATGGGAATTCAAAATCCTATGGAGAAACTTCATCTCCTTGCTGGACTTGGGGCCTTTCTCAAAGAGTCTTTCCCTTCTAACAGACCTCATCATTGCTAGGCACTGCCAGGCCAGCAGCAGCAGCATCTCATGGTTTGGGCACTGGCATGGGCCTTGAGAGACCTGGATGCTATTTTCCACCCTGCCACTGTCCTGCTGGGGGACCTTAGGCAATTCATTTCCCCACTCTGGGCCTCATCTGGGCTCTGTAGTGGCTACTGGGATGCAAATTACAACAATGATAATAAACAGTATGACATGAAATGGTAAGGACAACACCAGCTTTTTAACTCGATGTTCTCCAGCCTGAAGGTGACACTCTCACATAGACCAGCCTGCAGGTACTGTGATTTAAACCTCACTGATCATTTAACAACTTCTGTTATGTAGAAAGTTCCCTATTTCACCAGTGGGAGCTAGGTTTGAAAGAGTCAACTTCTCAGGTAAAAAGTTTCTCACATTAGACATCTGTAAAGTCTTTCTTGTTCACCCTTCCTGCCGCCCAGCTGTATCATTTTTTGCTGTTCTTGCCACCCAGACGCATTATTTACTTTTTATAATATTTTCCTTACAATGAAAGCTTTACAGAGCTGAATGATGCAGTCACCCCTGTGACAGGCAACTTGCACCTGTAATTCAAATCCAATGCTGTTACTCATTAAACATGACAGCAATTCCCTACCTTGTACTCCTGGGCAGCCTCCTCTATGGGAACCACAGTGTGAGCTCGGTGAATCTGGGACAGATGGCAAACCACACAGATGGGGGTTTGATCCTCTTCACAGAATAGTTTGAGAGGCTCCTGGTGTTCCCCACACACCCTCTCCCCTCCTGCTGCCTTTGACGCCTGTAAACTCAGCCGTTTAGCTATTTCTATGACATTCGCTAGCTGCCTGTTTGGTCTGAGATTTCTCTGTTGCACAGCTTGTCTGCACTGAGGGCAGGAGACATCTGTGTTGGATCCCTTCCAGCACTGGCTGATGCAGGCTTGGCAGAAATTGTGCCCACACTCCAGAGTGACAGGTTCTCAGAAATACTCCAGACAGATGGGACAAGTAGCTTCATCCTGGAGACTTTCCACAGAGTTCCCTGCACCCATGGCTCCCTCTGGACAGTGTAACAGGCTGGGTAAGGTTCACTTCCCTGAGCTCAGAAATACGCCCCTCCTGCAGGAGCAACTGGGTGTTTCCCTTCCTGAAACTGACTCTGCTGGGTGCTGAGCTGTAATGAGCCCCCTGGTAACATTCTGGTAACTGTTCTGGAAGCTTTTGTGAAAATGATACCACTAGGCCGGACTTGGATCCTGCAATCAGCTCCCTGTGCTGGTGTGGAGAGTCACTGCGGCTTCATAGGGATGTAACCCTTCTGTCAGGTATAATCAGCAGCAACCCAGGCTGGGTTCAATATATAGGGGTTCCTCTTCAACAATACAACACAGAACGGACTTGCACCCCCACCCAGTAACCTAGGAAAATTACACACCACCCCTAGGTGCCTCTAAGATGCAATACTTCCCCACTTGCAAGCACAGAGTCTAGAAAAGAAACTTTTGATGAAAGGAGAGAAGTCATCCGACATTTATTAGGGAAAATGCCGCAAGCAGGATTCATAATAAAACTGTGAGCAGGACACTCACCCCAGAGCATCTGGGGCAGTGTCTTCTGCCTCATGTTCTTGAGTTCTACCACCAAAAGTTTCTTTACAGTGCCCCTCTCTGCTCCCTCTCCACACAACACTCACTGGGGTTGTCCTTGGTCAGTGAGGACCCAGGGTTCAGAGGTGCACCTGTGTGATTTTGCCTCCCACCCAGGAAAGAATGCCCTTGCTTGCTCCACTATCTTAGCACTTGCTCTGGCTGGCCACCTTGCCAGCTGCCATTCCACTCCACTGGCTGCCTTCGCCAGCCACCACTCTTGACAGCCACCTGCCTCTCTGCAAGTTAGGCCCTATCTACACTGGCAAGTTTCTGTGCAGTAAAGCAGCTTTCTGTGCTGTAACTTCCCAGGTGTACACACTGCCAAGCCACTTAGTGCGCAGAAACTCCGCAGATGCAGCATGTGAGGGGTTGGATCACAGAAACCCCTTTGGGACTGCCACCTGATGTGCCTAGACTACCTCTGAGCCTGTTTTTCCTGCCAGCTTGGGACTTCAGTACCTTGCCTTGTTTGAGCCAGACATGCTTGCCTGCTGCAAACACAAATCCAAGTCTGAACCACATCCCCCACAAGCTGCAGGCTTAACTGAAAACAGCTTAAGAAGTGCTCCTGTCTCCAGCACTCAGATACCCAGCTCCCAATGGGGTCCAAACCCCAAATAGATCTGTTTTACCCTGTATAAAGCTTATACAGGGTAAACTCATAAATTGTTCACCCTCTATAACACTGATAGAGAGATATGCACAGCTGTTTGCCCCCCCCCCCCTCAGGTATTAATACATACTCTCAATTAATAAGTAAAAGGTGATTTCATTAAATACAAAAAGAAGGATTTAAGTGGTTCCAAGTAATGGCAGACATAACAAAGTGAATTACCAAGCAAAACAAAATAAAACACACAAGTCTAAGCCTAATAATAAACCTAAGTGCTAGAGGAGCCAACTAGGGGGAGAGCTTTTCTTGACCTGCTACTCACAAACTGGGAAGAATTAGTAGGGGAAACAAAAGTGGATGGGAATCTGAGAGGCAGTGACCATGAGTTGGTTGAGTTCAGGATCCTGACACAGGGAAGAAAGGTAAGCAGCAGGATACGGACCCTGGACTTCAGGAAAGCAGACTTCGACTCCCTCAGGGAACAGATGGGTAGGATCCCCTGGGGGACTAACATGAAGGGGAAAGGAGTCCAGGAGAGCTGGCTGTATTTCAAGGAATCCCTGTTGAGGTTACAGGGACAAACCATCCCGATGTGTCGAAAGAATAGTAAATATGGCAGGTGACCAGCTTGGCTTAATGGTGAAATCCTAGCGGATCTTAAACATAAAAAAGAAGCTTACAAGAAGTGGAAAGTTGGACATATGACCAGGGAAGAGTATAAAAATATTGCTCGGGCATGTAGGAATGAAATCAGGAGGGCCAAATAGCACCTGGAGCTGCAGCTAGTGAGAGATGTCAAGAGTAACAAAAAGGGTTTCTTCAGGTATGTTGGCAACAAGAAGAAAGCCAAGGAAAGTGTGGGCCCCTTAATGAATGAGGGAGGCAACCTAGTGACAGAGGATGTGGAAAAAGCTAATGTACTCAATACATTTTTTGCCTCTGTCTTCACGAACAAGGTCAGCTCCCAGACTGCTGCGCTGGGCATCACAACATGGGGAATAGATGGCCAGCCCTCTGTGGAGAAAGAGGTGGTTAGGGACTATTTAGAAAAGCTGGACGTGCACAAGTCCATGGGGCCGGACGAGTTGCATCCGAGAGTGCTAAAGGAATTGGCGGCTGTGATTGCAGAGCCATTGGCCATTATCTTTGAAAACTCGTGGCTAACGGGGGAAGTCCCGGATGACTGGAAAAAGGCTAATGTAGTGCCAATCTTTAAAAAGGGGAAGAAGGAGGATTCTGGGAACTACAGGCCAGTCAGCCTTACCTCAGTCCCCGGAAAAATCATGGAGCAGGTCCTCAAAGAATCAATCCTGAAGCACTTGCATGAGAGGAAAGTGATCAGGAACAGTCAGCATGGATTCACCAAGGGAAGGTCATGCCTGACTAATCTAATCGCCTTCTATGATGAGATCACTGGTTCTGCGGATGAAGGGAAAGCAGTGGATGTATTGTTTCTTGACTTTAGCAAAGCTTTTGACACGGTCTCCCACAGTATTCTTGTCAGCAAGTTAAAGAAGTATGGGCTGGATGAATGCACTATAAGGTGGGTAGAAAGTTGGCTAGATTGTCGGGCTCAACGGGTAGTGATCAATGGCTCCATGTCTAGTTGGCAGCCGGTGTCAAGTGGAGTGCCCCAGGGGTCGGTCCTGGGGCCGGTTTTGTTCAATATCTTCATAAATGATCTGGAGGATGGTGTGGATTGCACTCTCAGCAAATTTGCGGATGATACTAAACTGGGAGGAGTGGTAGATATGCTGGATGGCAGGGATAGGATACAGAGGGACCTAGAGAAATTGGAGGATTGGGCCAAAAGAAATCTGATGAGGTTCAATAAGGATAAGTGCAGGGTCCTACAACTTAGGACGGAAGAATCCAATACACAGCTACAGAGTAGGGACCGAATGGCTAGGCAGCAGTTCTGCGGAAAAGGACCTAGGGGTGACAGTGGACGAGAAGCTGGATATGAGTCAACTGCCCTTGTTGCCAAGAAGGCCAATGGCATTTTGGGATGTATAAGTAGGGGCATAGCCAGCAGATCGAGGGACATGATCGTCCCCCTCTATTCGACATTGGTGAGGCCTCATCTGGAGTACTGTGTCCAGTTTTGGGCCCCACACTACAAGAAGGATGTGGATAAATTGGAGAGAGTCCAGCGAAGGGCAACAAAAATGATTAGGGGTCTGGAACACATGACTTATGAGGAGAGGCTGAGGGAACTGGGATTGTTTAGTCTGCAGAAGAGAAGAATGAGGGGGGATTTGATAGCTGCTTTCAACTACCTCAGAGGTGGTTCCAGAGAGGATGGTTCTAGACTATTCTCAGTGGTAGAAGAGGACAGGACAAGGAGTAATAGTCTCAAGTTGCAGTGGGGGAGGTTTAGGTTGGATATTAGGAAAAACTTTTTCACTAGGAGGGTGGTGAAGCACTGGAATGCGTTACCTAGGGAGGTGGTAGAATCTCCTTCCTTAGAAGTTTTTAAGGTTAGGCTTGACAAAGCCCTGGCTGGGATGATTTAATTGGGGATTGGTCCTGCTTTGAGCAGGGGGTTGGACTAGATGACCTTCTGGGGTCCCTTCCAACCCTGATATTCTATGATTCTAATACAATTAGAAACTGAATACAGATAAAATCTCACCCTCAGAGATGTTTCAATAAGCTTTTTCCGCAGACTGGTTGCCTTTCTAGTCTGGGCCCAATCCTTTCCGCTGTACAGTCCTTGTTCCAGCTCAGGTGGTAGCTAGCAGATTTCTTATGACTGCAGCCCCCTTTGTTCTGTTCCACCCGTTATATAGCTTTGGCACAAAGTGGGAATATTTTTCTCTTTGCGTCCCCAGCCCTCCTTCTAAATGGAAAAGCCCCAGGTTTAAGATGGATTCCAGTACAGGTGACATGATCACATGTCACTGTAAGACTTCCTTACCCACTTGCCAGCACACAGGTATACAGGAAGACTACAAGTAAACAGAGCCATTTACAACCAATTGTCCTGGTTAATGGGAGCCATCAGGATTCCAAGCCACCATTAATGCATTTTGCATAATTACAATAGGACCTCAGAGTTATATTTCATATTTCTAGTTTCAGTTACAAGAGTGATACATTTATACAAATAGGATGAACACATGCAGTAGATTATAAGATTTGTAATGATACCTTACAAGAGACCTTTTTCATGAAGCATATTCCAGTTACATTATATTCACACTCATTAGCATATTTTCATATCATCTTATGGCATGCACCATCACACAACGCTCTAAAAAACCATCCCAACAAGAGGTGTAGAGTTTTCTGTGCCGGGACTATAGTTCTGCGGTGCCAGTGTAGACACCATGGTGATTACAGCACTGCGATTGGCCTCCGGGAAGTGTCCCACAATGCCCATTCTCATCTCTCTGGCCATTGGTTTGAACTCTACTGATCTGCTCTCAGGTGACCAACCATCAGCCCCACCCCATACATTCCTTTGCAAATTTGAAAGTCCCCTTCCTGTTTGCTTGGTGATGCATGCAGTGGTCTCAGCGCATCTTTCCAGGTGGCCATGCCTGCTCCACGCACCAGGCTATCCCCCGCTTGGAGCAATGCCGAGCTGCTAGACCTCATCAGCATTTGGGGAGAGGAGGCTTTGCGGTCACAGCTGCGCTCCAGCCATAGGAATTATGATACCTAGATGCATGATAGATTTCTAGATGCATGATAGAAAAGGGCCATGACCAGGACACATGGCAGTGCAGGGTCAAAGTGAAGGAGCTGCGTAACGCCTACCACAAGGTGCGGGAGGCAAACCGCC